ACAATGGGTATGACAAGAATTAATATGCTGGCCATCTGATGTTCCACTTTGGATATGCCCCGGGGCTTGAACGAGGTAGAGACTGGTGATCTGCGGGCGATGTCTGGTAAATCTTGCATGTGATGTCTTGCCTCCTTTTTCCAGGGATGCGGCGGAGCTCGGATGCTGTGATGTCCTGGATAGAATGGGTTCGGTGCTCGGCTGAGAATCGGCTGCCAATCCCCTTCTTTGTCCTTGAGACCTGGGAGTTTTATAGGACTTTCCCCCAAGTCTCATCCTCTTGATTGGTCCCGTTCACCTCTCCCTTACCCCGATTGGTCACTCTTTTTGTTTCTAGGCGAAAATCGAGATTGATCCGGGTCGGGAGAAGGTTGGAGAGGTGGGGACGGCTTTTAAACGTTCGTGCTTGTATTTTTCTCCATTAGGCCCTTTTTTCTGTTATCTTTGAACCTAAACGGTCCACCAGATGTTCTTGTGGCCATTTATCCTTTACTGCGTTCTTACTTAACAGATGTCCCTTTTGTTCTTAGACCCCCCTGACATTTGTTCGCGCGCATCTCGACAAAGCTCTCTCTCTCTATCGACATTCTCTCCTGTTGTTTATTGTCGCGTTGCATTTGTTTTACAATTCGGAAAAGTTTTTGTCTCATCTGGGTTCTGTCAAAAACACGTCCCCTCGACCCGATTCGATCTTCGAAACTTTCCGACATAAAAGTCTCGTAATTAGTCGTATTTCCGATGCGCTTTTCACGACCCTCACACTAGTCATTAAAAAGCGACTAGCAGAGAGATGGCAAAACATGTGGAATGCACAAATCCACAATAAACTACACGAGATCAAACCTATGATAGAAAATTGGACACATAATAAAGAGTATGATAGGAGATCTGAGGTTATTTTTACCTGTTTGAGAATTGTACACGCTCATCTGACTCATCAATGCCTTCTGAAGGGTGATGACTAGACAGTGGACATATAGGCCCTTAAAACTGGCATTTTACGCACTTAAAATAAGATTTTAAATTGTGTTGTTTAGGCTTTATAAACAAAAAATAGACATTTAAAATTTATACAATGAACAATTAACATACTTATCAGGACAATCAATTTTTAATTTAACATATGTATTCCAAACAAAAATGCATGTATTCAGAATGATGCAAACACAAAAGTAGACAAACAATTATCTTTACATTTTTTATTCACTCTGTTTCCCATAGTTAGCTTCATAATATATTACAAGCACTTTTTCCAAATTTTCAATAGAAAAGTTGCAACGTTTGTCACTGAGAATTAATTTATATGCAGAGAAAGAGCATATAATCCGTTATTTTTAACCTCGGAAGAAGATGAACTGGGAATTCACTTTTGCTCTTCTTTCTTGCCAAAATATCATCCACAATAAATAAGCACTTTAATCCAAGTCTCTTTTGAAGCACTGCTTTCAACTCTTTCTTCACTTTTTTTGCAGTAGTGCCTGGTGCTTCACAAAGTTTTTGGTTTGCTCTATTGAGGAGATCAATTTGTTCATATATAGGTTTCCCACTACTTTCAAGTGCAGTAATAGTATCATCAATGAATGTGAAATAACACTTGATGTACATCAACTTGTTTTGAACATAAATGTCATTCAAAATTTTATTGGCTTTAGTTACACAAACTGTATTGTTTGCTAAAGTGGCCAGAAGTTTTTTGATATCGAAGAAATGTTCACTGTAGTAGTTAGTACAAAATCTCAGCCATGTATATGCTAAGGGAAAAATAGGCATTTGCCTAAAATCCGCTGTCTAAAAATGACAAATAAGGCATCTCTAACGCTATATTTATTAAATAAAAATATTTATTTTAAAATATTTCATATAGTTTTAATTTTATTACTATAAAATTGCATCAGGGGTGTAATTTATTTTTGTTATTATTGCATTCTAATTTTTTCTGCTCAGGATATGCATCCACTGGGACTTAAATATAAGTAATCAATAATAATAAAAAATTGAATTTGTCTGATCGCATTTTTAGGAAAAAAATGAAACTTAACAAGTTTAATTTAAGAATTAAAGTAAACCTTTGCGGAAAGTAAAATGAAAAATTAATAAAAACTTTTTAAAAATATGAAAACAGATCAAACTTTGTGTTTTAGGCAAAAATAGGCAGCAACATCAAAATAAGCATTTTTAGGCATTATAAAAGACCATTGTTTTGGTCTAAATGTTCATGAAAAGTGTTCATACAAAATCTTAGCCAAGTATATGCCAAGGAAAAAAATAGGCATTTGCCTAAAATCCGCTGTCCAGTGATGACCAATGAGTGTGCCAGTGTTGCAACTGCGCTCGTAGTGTAAAACACATATTGTGCAATTGCTGTGTGTTCGAGAGGATGTGTAGAAAGTATTTTCGAAATGCACATCTGACAGAGGTTTTGGGTCAGAGGCCAAATGTGGACAATATATTGGACTTTCTGAAAGTCATTAATATGTATATAGAGATTTTATTATATATTTATTCTACAGTTTTAATTACTTTGTTTTGCTTATTTGTTTTTGTTGTTGTTTATTTAGTTATTTATTTAATTTTGTCTTATGTTTGTTATTTGTGATGTTTAAAATTTGCCCTGGTGCAGGCTTAGCCTATAGTGCTCTTGCGCCGAAAAACCAAAACCAACTAACCATCCCTGCTTTAATAAGAACATTCACTTCCATTGATGCATAAACACCTTGTGAATTTTAGTATTCAAAGAACTATAGAGATGTGAAATAATTATTTATTAAAATTTTAAAATATTCATGATGATGGGATGATAACTTTGCAACAATAGTTTTACCAAGACCAAATTTTTTTCTTAAAATCATGATTTTTTTTTGGTAAATAATATTGCAAAGTACATATATGAATTTATCAGCACAACACCAGAGTTTATAACCTATCTTTATAGGTTCGATTGGATTTTACTGCTTGAGGGAGGAACATGCTTTGAATTTTACCATGCTTTTATCTATACTCTGGAATTGATTTCGTATTTGAAATTTTTTGAAGTTTTCATTAATTTTAGTGATGAGTGGTTGTATCTTATACAGTCTGTTTTTGTTATATGGAGGAATGGGTAAATTATTATTTACATGTAAGTTTGATAAAATTTGTTATTCTTTTTCTCTTGTCATTACTTCTCATACAATGGGAATGCATAAGTCTAACTACTACACGAATAATGATGTGTTTGCCGTAAAAAATGATAACTGAAAAGAAATTTCAATCCTAGAAATCCATACATTTCTTGTTCTCTAATTGTCTCAATATTTCTTTGGTTTTGTTGGCTATACAAATTGTTTTTATATACAATATTGTTTATTGTACTTTCTTCTTAATTTAATTTAGTACTCTTACTTGACCAGGAGCCCCGCCCCCGTACTTTATTTTACTTTTCTTAACGACCAAGGGCCATTTAGGTCATTCAAGGTCAGTCAGGTTATATTATTTTAAAAATTTGCCAAAAATCAAGTTATTGTCATATTCATATGAAAAAAAATCACATATATTTACCAATATATGTTATTTATAATGCGATAGTTTTTAATAAATTTCATTTAAAAAATTCATTATAAAAAAAATATAATTTTTCATAATTAACATTTATACTTGAAAATTCGTTACTTTGTATCAAAATTAACGTTATCTGGTAACTTAGTTTTCTGTTAACACTAAGCCAGATTGACGTAGAATATTGTTTTGTACAACTCTATGTAATTTTTATGCATGTGCGTTTTTTTTGTTTTGAAATTATCACACATTATATCAAAAATTAGGTTAAAATTAAATCTTATATTTTGCTATATACCTAATTTTTGTTTAGAATACATTACACGTAAAATAAAACATTTCTGACAACAAACATATAATGACGATAAAACGTAGAAGTGATAAAAGTTTATTTTAACATAAAATTTTAAAAAAAGTAGAGAAAAAAAACATCTTTGATGCTGCTAGGATGAAATCTGTAAAACAAAGTTTATTTCTTATTTATTTACTGCATGATGATAATCAATATAAATCTAACATAAAACTCGATCACATACCTTACTAATAATTACAAAAAAAATAAAAAAAAAACATCATCTGAATCAAAATCAGAAACATCCATCATGCTAAAATCAGGGTCAGAGTCTGACTCTGAAATAGTATCCGAAATGTTATCCATGTAGTCTTGAAGATCAGACTCGTATAATACCATTTTTGGAATTTTCGAAGATGATGCCATTTTTTATAAATTTTCGGTGGTAAATTCGATAAATCTAATTAAAAAAATAAACTATATATAACGATACGTTACAATATAAAGCTAAAATTTAAAAAAAAATATAATTTTTCATAATTAACATTTATACTTGAAAATTCGTTACTTTGTATCAAAATTAACGTTATCTGGTAACTTAGTTTTCTGTTGGCACTAAGCCAGATTGACGTAGAATATTGTTTTGTACAACTCTATGTAATTTTTATGCATGTGCGTTTTTTTGTTTTGAAATTATCACACATTATATCAAAAATTAAGTTAAAATTAAATCTTATATTTTGCTATATACCTAATTTTTGTTTAAAATACATTACACGTAAAATAAAACATTTCTGACAACAAACATATAATGACGATAAAACGTAGAAGTGATAAAAGTTTATTTTAACATAAAATTTTAAAAAAAGTAGAGAAAAAAAACATCTTTGATGCTGCTAGGATGAAATCTGTAAAACAAAGTTTATTTCTTATTTATTTACTGCATGATGATAATCAATATAAATCTAACATAAAACTCGATCACATACCTTACTAATAATTACAAAAAAAATAAAAAAAAAACATCATCTGAATCAAAATCAGAAACATCCATCATGCTAAAATCAGGGTCAGAGTCTGACTCTGAAATAGTATCCGAAATGTTATCCATGTAGTCTTGAAGATCAGACTTGTATAATACCATTTTTGGAATTTTCGAAGATGATGCCATTTTTTATAAATTTTCGGTGGTAAATTNGTATATCAAGTGTTTGTTATCCTGATTAGAGGTGCCATCACATTCACAAGTAGGAGTAATGCTATGGCCAAACCTATAGAGATAGGCCTTAAAGTTCCTGTGGTTTGTCAATAATTGTGTTGTAATATAGTCTATTTTAATGTGTTGAAGTTGGCTCCTTTGTTTAATATTTGGCAGAAAGCAATATGTAGCTCTTCCAGTTGTTTCCTCTTCCCAGATCCTTTGCCACATTGAGTACATTGTCTGATGAATAACATTTTTAATGTTTTTGGTGGAGATCTCAAGGATAACCGGCTCTATGTCTTTAATTGCGGCTTCTTTAGCAAGGCGATCTGCCTCCTCATTTCCTGTATTACCAACATGAGCACGCGTCCACTGGAGCGTAATGTTACTTCTGGTAGTCGCCAGTTCCTTAGATATTTGCCAGTGAAGATCGTTTTTTTGGTTGCCGTTAATGATACTGAGAAGTGCTGCCCTACTGTCTGAACATATGCAGATATGTTTTCCTTTTAGATAGTTTATTTTGTTAGTATACTGAAGAGCTTTAAGTATTCCATAAAGTTCGGCTTGATACACTGTGCTAAGTTTATAAAGTTTGAATTCCTCTTGACATATAAAGAGATTTTTCTTGACATTAAGGTGCACTATGCCTGCTCCCACTCCATTGTTTTGTTTAGATCCATCAGTGTATAATTTATGAGTCGTGCTGTTATTTGGGTTCTGTTCTTCCAAATTAAAGTTGGGAAAACAGGCCGGATGTAATTGTGGTTGAAATCTGCATTTGTTTGAAAATTTTATGGTAGATGTAAAGAAGTGATCAACTTCTAAGTTGGGAAGAATTCCAATTTCAAAATAAGTCTGGATTTCCTTTTCTTTATCTTCAGAAATTTTTAGATTGCTTAACTTCCAAGAAGCCATCAAGGCCTTAGCCTTTAACTGTATTGGTGGGATATCTGCAATTACTTGAAGAGCCGATGTTGGGGCTGTCCGATAAGCACCCATTATCCTGAGTAAGCTAATTCTCTGAATTTTTTGTAATGCTCTTTTATTATGGATTTTTGTAGCTGCCTGTCCCCAGATTGGTGCTCCATATAGTAAAATCGGTTCTATTACCTGCCTATAGATGTTTATTAATGTATGACTGTTCATGCCCCATTTTTTTCCTGTAAGATAGCACAATAAGTTGGCCATTTTACCAGCTTTTTCGCAGGCATAGTCAATGTGCGTTTTCCATTTAAGCCCTTGATCAAAATAAATGCCAAGATATTTAAGATTTCTTGTATGAGAAATCCTTTCATTATTTATTTTAAGGATAGGGGCTTTTTGTAGTTGATGACCCTTCAAAAGTAACATACACTCAGATTTTTTGATATTTTATAGTCAATTTATCTATATATATAACTCATTTAACAGGTGTTCATCCTTCCGTCCGTCCGTCCCGTAACCGTTTGATAACCGACACTAGAGGCGCCCCTATCGTGTGTCATATTTCAAACATTCAAATTAAATTAACAATTTTAATTATTATTTAAATTAACAATATAAATTATTATTATTCATTTGGCCAATAAATTATTATTTGGTCAATATAACAATATAAATAATTCAGTATATTTGTAATAGGAATTTATTATTGTCACGGAATGCCTGTAATGTTCACTAGGGGGCGAATAACGAAAAACCGGATAGATTTGAACCGCTACGATAAAACGATAAGTGAAATAGTTAAGCTAATATTTTAATATAATAATAGAAACCTTTCATGGCACGACCAAAGAAATACGCCACTGTGGGGGAACGTAAAGCTGCCACTGCTGCGAGACAAAGGGAGAGACGTGCGCAGGAAACATTACAGAGAATAGCACAATCAACACGTGGAGGCTTGCAGAATGAAACTCATGAGCTCAGATCTGCAATGTTGCACAGGCAGGCAGAAGCAAAACGACACAGAAGACAAAATGTCACAACAAGGCAAATTGATTCCAAATAATTATACTTTTTTTTACCAACAATGTTGTGTATACAGAAGTTTTATGATGGGATAAATGATGGAATACAGAACACAGCTAAAGAATATCTTCAGTCTGTAATACAGAAATACTATTTGCTGTGTATTGATCTGTTAACATTACTTTTTAACATGAACATTTGTATATATTTATACTTGATTTTTTAATCATATTAATTCTATTTATTTGAACAATTTTGAGTAAAGAATAGATTCACTTTCTCATGTACAAATACTGTTGGCTGTTTGTGTATTGATATTTTAAGTTTAGTTTCTAAGATGAAGAATTGTATACATTTATATATATTAACTGCATCAAACTTTTAAACATTAAGCGCACACAACTTTCATATATTAAGTGCATTAAACATGCCTCAGGAATTTGTAATGCTGCTGGAACGCCCACTAGGGGGCGTCCAGGGCTACTAGTTGTCTATACTCCATTTGTATATGCTGTCCAGCAGTTTGTTTGCCTCCACTTGCAGTTTTTCACTGTTGTTTCCCGCAAGTAGTGCCAGCATGTCATCGGCGAACCCTTGTATTGTCCATGGTGCCAGAATGTTAGTAGGATTGATGTGCAACAACTCGTTGTACATGATATTCCATAACCCAGGTCCCTATCGGGACCCCTGTGGGCAGCCACAGTTAATTTGTCTTGTTATTACTTGTGCTGTATCTGTAATGCATACTTCCCTGTCTTGTAAGTAGTTTCTTAGAGTAAGATAAAGATTTTTTGGACATTGGAATTGTTTTAAACGATTGAAGAGTGCTGGCCACCATAGAGAGTTAAAAGCATTTTTGTAATCGATGGAAACCATCAAAACATGTTTACCATTTTTTCATGCGTTGTTGATATAGTTTGTTGTTTTGTGAAGGATGTGGTAGGTCGATTTATTTGGTACAAAACTGAATTGATTGGGGTGTAGCAATTCCTTGTTGTATAAATAAAAGTTTATTATATTTATAATGATACCATCATATAATTTTCCAAGGACTGGAAGAAGGCTTGTAGACCTAAAATTATTTGCTTCATTAGAGCTACTTTTCTTTATCTTGGGAATAAATGTTATGACCGCCTTTTTCCAACACTTGGGGAAACAATGTTGTTCAAAGCACTTGTTATATGTAACTACAAATGCTGTAGGGATGGCCTCAAACGCTTTTTTGATCATCATTGGTGTAATTCCTTCGTACCCAGGTGCTTTTTTATTTTGAAGCGACATTATTGCCCTTTGAATCTCTCTGTATGTGAATAGGCTGTCATCTTTAGTGTTGGGTGGGGAGATAATATTGTTCCGTATTTTTCTTTGGTTATCGTTGTTGTATTCTGGTTCATCTTTTGGAAAATGCACATCTAGTAAATGATTGTAAGTTTCTTCGAAAGTGCTCGTAAATGAACCATCTTCCTTTTTAACATTAGTAAGAATTGTTGTCATTTTCCTAGGTTTGAGAACAATATGATAGGGCTTGCTCCGGTTTTTCCTATTCCCCAGATTGGAACAATATTTATTCCACGCTGTAGTCCTCGCTCTGTTTATTTCTGTCTTGTACCGATTGAACTCTCTTATATAATTATGTTTTTTAGTTTCTTTTATCTGAGTATCCTGTTCCTTTCTAAAAATTTTATAAAGACTCCTGACCTTCTTTCTTTGTATGCTTAGTTGCGAAGTCCACCACGGTGCATCTTCACAATTTCTACTAGTGATTTCTGTGGACCCTTTGTAGGATGCAAGAATAGATGTTGTAAGGTGGTCTGCCAATTCATCACCCTTTGTTATGTTGTGTAGTTCTTGATGATTTGGATGTGCCCAATGATATTTGAAAAGATCTTGGAAAATACTCCAATTGGTATTGTGGACAGTTTCATTTTAAGCTTTTTCATCAGTTTTTGAATTTTTCAGGATTGTTTTGATATATCTATGGTCACTAGCACTGACCTCCTCGAGGGTTTTGCAAAAGATGATGTGTTTGTGAGCGTTCAAATTGGCCAAACAAATGTCCATTCAACTTTCACCCCTTGGGCAAAAGTAGGTTGGCAGAGAGCTTGTATTACAAGAAACCAGATCGTTCGTTGCCATGAATTCAGTCACTGAGTATCCTCGAGGGTCTTCTTTTGGTGCAAACCAGATTGGGGATTCAGCATTAAAATCCCCAATGACGATCCATGGGGAAGAATTGATCTGATCCTTTATGTTTTAACAACTGAACTTCTTATCAAATACTGGAGGTAATATTCTTCCTTCTACCTGTATAAAAACCTTCCAAATCTCCAGTGATACTCATTTAAGCAAACGTTTTCGATCCTATTAGGGTCTTCATCAGGCCACCGTTATAAAAATTCAAACAGTGCGAAATCGAACAGGAACCAAATAAATGCGATTCAAATCTTTGAATGTCAACATTAATATCAAACATAGAACACCACGCTCTTGTAGCGATGTCGTCAAAGCATGCGCAACTTGCGCTTGCAATAAAACCACATTACACCTACTTATGTGTGGGGTATTCCTTCATAGCAAAACTTCCATGCACTAGAGATGTTGACTGCATCTCTGGAGTTAATACATGTATTGTTTAATCCCGCTTTATAAATTTCTAAGGTCTCCATAATTCTTAGTTGGTCAGTACGGTGTGTTAGCCTAACTAGACTTGCATTCTGCAGATCTACCGTAATTCCCGGTTCTGTGGCTACTGTTGAAAGGGTGGTGGAGTGTTTATTGTTATCAATATCATACTTATGCTCCTTAAGACGTTTCCTTTATGTTTTGTAAGTCATCAATAAGATTCTGAATGTCTTCATTCGGTGAGCAATAGGCTGATGACAGGAATAGTTGTTTGTCACTGTGCAAGATTTGTACTGTTGTCATATATTTGGTGCTGTAGTCCGGGCTGAAGTTAACTTTAAGATTTTTGTTACAGACCAGTATTCCAGTTTTAATAATGTCGCAAAAATTAGGTGTTGGAAAAACTTTCCATCTACCATAGTTAACTATGGTGTTGTTAAGTAAATATGGTTCTTGGATGCATATGAGATCTGCTTGCTGTTTTTCTGCTATCTTTTTAACCATCGATGAGACTGCTTTTGACCTTTGTGTGTTAATATTTAAAAATACTAGATTATTATGACATGCTTCCGAATTGTCCGCTTTGTGTTCTTGTACATTGGTCTGTGAAACATTGAAATTACCTTGTATTGGCTGTTTAAGCTGTTTCCTATTTTCGGTATTATTAGTTCCCATAGTCAGTTAGTTGAACAGTTCTTGCTTTTATTCTCTTTAAAATTTTACACTTTTGACTAAATGCATTATGATTAGATGGAACTTTTTTACTAGCCTGTTGATTTTTGTTAAATTTGCTACAATTAATGCAGCATGGTGTGCTGTTTCGCATAGGGCATTCTTCGTATTTATGTGATTTTAAACAATGGCTACAGCGTAAATCGTCCTCGCATTCATTAGCAATGTGATTAAAACCACAACATTTAAAACATCTCTTAATTGGGATGAAATCATCCGTTTTAATGTTGGCCCATGCAATTGACAAGTATTTGTTGCTAATTATTTTGTTTCTCAGCTCCGGAGTCACCGACAACACAATGTGCCTGCAGTTGTGGTTAGTTCTCCCTTTGTTTATCACTATACTTATGTTGCAGGTGTTTAATATATCTTCTTTCTGTAGATTGTCCCATATGTTATTCTGCTTATATATAGTTTCAATCAGTTGTTCTTCCTCCACCGAATTGGGAACATTCAGTAATATGACCCGCGGTCTCCTACCACCTGCAACATGGCACTTTATTTTGTTGTTTAAGTTAGGAATTTCAACTATGGCGCTCTTTAAAATTTCGCCATCTGTATTGTTCTTGACTCTTATGCAGATTCCTCCTTTATTAATTTTTCGAATTCCTTTTACTTTTATTCCCAGTTCCTGCGGCTTTATTTCTGTTGTAATCTCTTCTTGTATTTCCTCAATATTAATATTTCCGTCTTCATTTTCTAAGTTTGGATAGATTAACACCGCGTGGCTACCACTATCTCCTTCCTTCTGGATTTTAGAAGTAATTGTTTGTGTGATTTCCAAAGTAGTGCCACTCAGTTTTGTTCCTTTACTTAAGGCTTGAGCATATGTTTTCCGAGTGATTTCTGGTTGAGTGTTTTCTGAACTAGTAATGACTTGTAGGCTGATGTTCGGTGTCGTCCTGTAGGACTTTGAGATAAGTAGAAGGGCCCTGCGCTGGGAAGAGACAAGTTTTCTTTTGAGGTGGACTTTATGTGCAGCCCACCCCCAGCTACCACAAGCATAAGTGACAATGAATACATGTATCTGGTTGTAGATAAGGCTGAGAGCATCGGATTTTAACCCCATTTGTTCTTTGCAATCTTTGCAAAAGCATTGAAGATTTGACCAGTACATTTAGAGATGTCTTTGATATGTTCGTGCCAGCTTAGGCACAACCAGGTACCCTTTGGATTTTACAACATTAATACTCTTGTTGTCCATTTTAATGATGGGCATGCGACGGTAAAGGTTGGGTTGCCCAGTTTGTTCATTACTATTGCCCTGGTTTTATCAGGATTAAAGTGGAGTTTATGCTTTTGACTCCGTTCACGAATCATCACTAGGGTTTCAGTTCCTTTTGTTTCCAAATCTGCTTGAGACCTGCCACCAATGAGTATAAGAACATCGTCGGCATAAGCGGTGGTACTGTGAAGACCACCACTTCCCCCTCCAAAAATATATGTATTTGTAAACTTATTTGTAATAATTTTTGTTTATTTACTTTATCTTTTTTAATTATGTATTTGCGTGAATCTTAATTGTATCTTGAATAACAACCAAAGTTGTAGAAGGAAACTCGCCTATTTTACCAATNATATATAGCCTTACCTGTAAAACACACAAAGCAAACTTCCAGCAAACACGCTAAAGTGAATTTCAAAAATTCCTACTAACGGTTTTATAGGTCAACAAGACGACACCTGGACGCAAATATGTGAAACAGACTGTATAGAAGACGTTACCGTCAAGTGCTGGCATCTGTTGCTAAAAAATTTTAAAATTTTCGAATTTTTACAGGGTGTCAACGAATTGACACCCTGGTGAATTTGAAAATAAAAATAGGTGACAACGAATTTACACCCTGGTAATGTAAGAGTTCTTAAACTGCCAGGAAAACATCTGTTGTTGTGGCTTTATTTTCAAAAAACTGATTCACTGTATTCTTTGTTAATGAAAAAGAAGAAACAAATACTTACTTTTTAACATTTTCTAAAATTCCTTTTTATTGATGAATTACTAGCAAATTCTTTCTCATCAGAATCATCATCGTCAGATTATTTACTAAATCAGAAGTTTTGTGAGTTTGTGGTGCTATTTGATCATATGCATTCTCTGATTCATCATCAGTACTGTCTCTAGCAGGTATATCAATCCATACATTTCTATTCTCAACAGTTGATTCAACAGTGAATTTTCCGTTGAGTCCCTCTGTTGAACAATCTGATGTCACGTTTTGTAGAAAAAAGAAACGCTATCATTGAGAGTAGTGTTGAGAGGTCACTTTTCAAGATGACAGACTTAACTAACAAGAAGGTGGCGATTATGACTGTTTTATTAAATAGTATTTCTGAGAGTAGAGGGGGTTACGAGATGTTTCTTAAATCTAAAAAAGATAATGAAGATATTTCATTTCTGTATGCTGCTATAGTGGAAAAATCGAAAAAAGCCAAAATAGAAAGCTATGTAGAAAATATCGTTCCCAGATACAACGACATGGACTTTAAGTCTCATTTTTGTCTTTCTAGAAGAACTGTTGAAGTAAGTCTCTGCTAAGAATTGTTAGCTGTAGTAACTATCTACAGAAAAATTGCTTTATTCGGCTGTTTTATCTTTTTATTAATGTTTAAAAAGAAATAATTGTGTTATACTATGATATGATATTTTATTTTAGAGGTTAATGGAACAGCTTCCTGAACAAAGGACTGGCCCTGGTCGAACAGGACTAAGAGAAACATCACTACAAACAGTTGTATTGATGTCTCTATGGTTGTTAGGCAATCAGGAGTCGTTTCGTGGCGTTGCGGACAGATTTGGAATAAGCAGAGGACATGCCTATAGAGAATTTGTATATTTTATTAAAACCGTGTCTTTGTTAAGATCTAAAATTATTGTTTGGCCTAAAGGTGGAAAAGCTAAAAACACTATAAGGAACTTTGAGACCTTACAAGATATAAGCTTTCCAGATGTAATTGGATGTATAGATGGAGCCCATATATTGATATCATCACCAAAAGCATCAAAAAATGCATATTTTAATAGAAAGCAATATACATCTGTAATTCTTCAAGCAGTATGTGATTCGAAATTATTGTTTACAGATGTGTTTGCAGGGTGGCCACGATCTTCTCACGATTGCAGTTTGGAGCAACTTACCACTGTGTGAAGCCCTGGAAAAAACCCTATGATTCTAGAAGGGGCCCATCTCCTTGGAGATGGAGCTTATCCACTTTCTTCAAGTATGATGATACCATATATCTATGAAAGGTGATAGGAGGCATTACTCGTAGGTATATCCTCAAAGGGGATGAAAAGAAGTGAGAAGAAGGTAGACGTAAGTAAAAGGTATTGGGCAGGTGCCGAAAGGGGGTGAAGACAGTAGGAAGAGGAAATAAGAGGAAGAGGGAGGTCATTAGTTGCATCGGGTAGTTTATTTTAAAACCACAAAATTACAAGATATAAAAACATAACAAAATAATGTACATTTGGAATGTAAGGCGGCAGCAGTATTTAAATTCCCACTTGGAATAGACACAGCTGCTTTAAAATGCTAACAAACAATTGTACACAAAGAGCAAACAACTCAATTCGCGTGTTGAAAAGAACCAGCTACCTGCTGGTGTTGAGTTCTAGTGCCTTTGTGGCTGAAACAAAAGCAGTGAGTTCATTGTAGATGTTTTTATTTTCAATTAAATCTCTAGTGTCGCACGGCCAGGCAATGTATTCTTGAAGAACAGCTTGGATCAGTTTGTTCCTCTGTTGTTGAAATTTCTTGCATTCGTATATCAAGTGTTTGTTATCCTGATTAGAGGTGCCATCACATTCACAAGTAGGAGTAATGCTATGGCCAAACCTATAGAGATAGGCGTTAAAGTTCCTGTGGTTTGTCAATAATTGTGTTGTAATATAGTCTATTTTAATGTGTTGAAGTTGGCTCCTTTGTTTAATATTTGGCAGAAAGCAATATGTAGCTCTTCCAGTTGTTTCCTCTTCCCAGATCCTTTGCCACATTGAGTACATTGTCTGATGAATAACATTTTTAATGTTTTTGGTGGAGATCTCAAGGATAACCGGCTCTATGTCTTTAATTGCGGCTTCTTTAGCAAGGCGATCTGCCTCCTCATTTCCTGTATTACCAACATGAGCACGCGTCCACTGGAGCGTAATGTTACTTCTGGTAGTCGCCAGTTCCTTAGATATTTGCCAGTGAAGATCGTTTTTTTGGTTGCCGTTAATGATACTGAGAAGTGCTGCCCTACTGTCTGAACATATGCAGATATGTTTTCCTTTTAGATAGTTTATTTTGTTAGTATACTGAAGAGCTTTAAGTATTCCATAAAGTTCGGCTTGATACACTGTGCTAAGTTTATGAAGTTTGAATTCCTCTTGCCATATAAAGAGATTTTTCTTGACATTAAGGTGCACTATGCCTGCTCCCACTCCATTGTTTTGTTTAGATCCATCAGTGTATAATTTATGAGTCGTGCTGTTATTTGGGTTCTGTTCTTCCAAATTAAAGTTGGGAAAACAGGCTGGATGTAATTGTGGTTGAAATCTGCATTT